AGACTCCGGCAAAGTGTAGCGCAGACGCGTGAGACCGATGGCATAGTTTCGAATCTTATCGTTATCGCATTTGTACGATATGGGCGTTTTTCAGAGATCCGAATGATGCGGAAAAACGAGGCCCACCATGGGGTGCCGACGCCCTTCCATTAGTATTCGAGTCTAGGTTGGCCGCCATTCTCTCATTTCGAATATAGCTCGTGACTTTTGAGATACCGGCAGGCTTTGAAACTTTTTCACCTGGTCCCAACCGCCCATGTTACATTTGGGAGTTGACTTGGCCCTTGCGCAGTTCCTCTGTCTGGGGGAAAGAAACACGGTCGTCTTTTCACCCGGTACATTTTGGCGGTGGCGCCAATCTTCCGCAAAGCGTGACCAAGAACTACAAGCAGACAACGGAAAACCCGCACTTATGCGAGGGTGTGAATATCAATATGAATGTACCGCTCTTTACACAGTATGTTTAAAGAGTTTGAATCTCATTAGAAAAAATGCCCTCCAAGAGTCTAACGCAAAAGTGCAACACGCTCGATTTGGCACACTTACGGCTTGCTGAATTTATTGGGTAACCGTTTCGCCACTAAATATAGCGAGGATCCTGAATTGTTACGGTAGATATCGCTCAATCGGGAGGCATTAGGCACGTAGCCAGGGGGGGGAAGGGCGCATGGGGCCCGGCCATCCGAAATCATCCATTTTGGTGGCCCCTTCTCTCCCACCTCCCCCTCATACAGCAATTTGTCATGAATCTCCTCCCCCCCCCCCCCCCCCCCCCCCCCGAAACAAAATCCTGGCTACGTGCCTTGGAGGCATCCCTAACTTTCTGGGTCATCACCAACTCGGCGGATGCACTCAAATAAAAAATTTTGCTGAACAACATTGAACATCGCAATCTTCTCCGGAAATATTTTAGATGACAGCTCATAAAATATCAAGAAGCAATAAGTATACTTTTGGACGCGTCTAGTTTTTATTCCATGGCTTATTCCATGACGTTTACAAAATTGTAAGTTCCTGCCTTTCTGGACTAAAAGATCGCAATGCTCCCGAGAACTCTAATTGCCTAAAACATGTAGAACGCATATCAATTAAGAAAATTGTATTTCCTAGAATACTTTTCATTTCAGGGAATGTTCCAAACAGCAGGCCGTGAATTCACTGTGACTCCCGAGGTCAGAAAAGCCCACAGCACAGGTCAAAACACGCTGCACAATCCGTGTCTCCCAATCCGTTTTATTTACTTATTAATTAATTAATTTTTATTACGTATACTGCAGACCATGGTTGGCCCAAGCAGGAGGGCTACGCAAGACGGCGATGTCTTGCGGTCCCTTCGTACCGCCGTCTTGCGTAGTCCCCCAGGAGGGCAAAAACATACACAGGTCTCGAAATGAGAAATAAACGCAGATAACAAAATAAGAGATGAACGCAGTTAGCACGTGTCAAAAGTATGCAGAAATGCACACTGTCACAGCACAATTTACACACAAAAGTAAATGCGATTTGTCGCTGGACATACCACCACGACGACTTGCTTCAAAGAAAGAAAATGAACTAGGTTGACGCACAGTCGAAAGCAAGAGCAGAGTAATTAAACGAGCAACATAAAAAGTCAGACAATATATCATAAATCGGACAAATTCTTGGTGTGGTGTTCAATGATAACGTGAGCATTTACAATGTTATACGCACCGCTGAGGCCAACCTAAAATGATGACACGGCCGAAGAGGAAACAACCTTAGAGAAGGTTCTAAAGTTCGTTCTCTAGGAACGAGGCGAAATTAGTAGATGAAATAAGGTCGCCAGGAAGAGAATTCCAATCATCAGTTGTGCGGGGGAAAGAAAGTATTTAAACAAATTGGTCCTTGCGAAGGAAGGTTTTTTAAGAATGCTGAGGGATGACGTCTAATACGTCCTGTGACAAGTGGTTGTAGGTACGTTTTTGAATCAAGAAGTAGCTCTTGGTTATACAAACAATGAAGAAAGACTTATTAGTGATAACACAAAAGGGACATGGACGACAGATAACACAGGCTTTCGTATAGATAATTGAGTTTTACGGTCGCTTTCGTATAGATGGTTGGGTTCTATGTCCCTCTTTCGTTTTCGTCAATTAGAAACCAACAAGCTGAACCATCTACAGTAAGTCAATATGAGCTATTTTACGACAGCGTTCCAGAGTCTGGATATTGTTCATTTTCATAAGTAAAGAAGGAGAATCTTTTTTTTCTTTTCTTTAACTTACCCTATATGAACCTTACAGCAAGTCTTTGTACGCTTTCTAGTGTTGCAAGATCAGTATTTTTGTGTACGGGTCCCAAATATTATCACAATGTTCTAGTTTTTGTTTAATTGGCAAATCGTACGAAATAATTGGCGCTTGAAGTAGCATATTTCAAATTATGCCTTACTAAATCCAGCTTTCTAAAGGCAGCCGAGGAAATGTTGTTAATATGGCTCGACCAATTCAAGTTTTTCAAGTTTTTTTTATTAATAGTTAATACGAGATATTTGTACGCATCAACTTGAGATATATTGATATTATTTATCTAGTACTGAAAAGCGAATATTTTTTACAGCGAAGCTGTTAAGGGATAGTTTCCCCAGGATCGTGGCCATCCTCAAATGACCTGATGACACAGAACTCTGGACAGCTACCGCCATCCATGAGTAACGGCGGCAACAAGAGAACCGGCTTGCCGGTTGTCTAGTTGTCGCCGTCGCTCATAGATGGCGGTAACCTTTCGAGCTTTTCCACTCTGGCTTGCTGAGTTATGGCCGGCAATTACTTCATTCCCACCATGTATTACAGCTTCTCTGGTCGAAAGGCTGAAAGTTTTTTTTTCGTTTAGTTATCTGACGATTTTTTTCTTCAGGATTTACTTTTAAATTTCAAGTATCACACCAAAGTTGCAGGTTACTGAGGCACGAATCCAATATTATTTGGTCGCAAGTAGAGATTTCATTAAATAAGATGCAATCGTCTACAAGACGAACTTTATTCACAGATGGGTTTCTAGATATGTGACAATGTCATCAATGACCTTAAAAACAGCGACGGCCCGAGAGCACTGCCTTGAGGCACCCCAAACGGAACGTCCAATCTTTCTGAGAACTCGTCACAAAATTGAACAAATTGTTTTTCATAAAATAAATACGAACATATCCATAATGAAGAAGAACATATTCTAATTTAGTTGTTAATTTTCAATGGCTACCAAATCAAATGATTTACTGAAATTGAGAAAAATTATATCAACTTGGCCTGTTCTAGTAACTACAAAAGCAAATTCTTGAACTGTATAAACAAGTTGAGTGGCTGTAGAATTACCTTTCTAAAGCCGCGCTTAAAGGGTGTATGCTGTTTGCGGTTAGGAAGTTGGTAATATAGTTGGCAATATTATGCTCTATCAGCTTACGCGAAGCACATATTAATGTGATGGGGCCATGGTTATTTAACGCCAGTCGGTCACCTTTTTTATAGACAGGCACAACCAGTGTCACGATTCAATCATTTGGCAAAGTTCCCAAAGTTGAAGAAAGGCGAAAAATGATTGTTAGAAAATGCACCCGTAGTGCAGCATACCTATGCAAGAACTGATTTTGGGATATTACCTGTACCACAGGAAGCTTTTACTTTTAACTTCTACAGCATGGAAAAGATTTCCTCGCAAGATATGGAACCTTCCTGCAAGATAGGTAACGTGTTTGCACGGTAATTTCTCTCGTCTCAGTTAGCAAAAACAAACTGAAAGTAAGCATTAAAAAGCTGAGATAAGAAACCAATTCATCGCCGACCTTAATCTTATCAATTGGTTTATTTTTTCATCGAAGATAATTTCGAAATTTCTGAGCGTAAGTTTTAAGGAAGCTTGTAGGTGTATTCGAACACAATAATATTTGACGTGCTGCACTTGTAACGTTAGCTCATGCCTCAAATCGTGATTAAAATCTTGATTATTAACCTTTCTTAAACCGCTTAATTCGTTTTTTTTTTTTAAAGAGTATATATTCCTCGGTTAATCCAAATATTTGACTGACCACTGAGTTTACGTTTGCTGGGAATAAAGTTATCTAGGCAATAATTACAGATTGATTAAAATTTGTCCCAGACAACATTTATGTCCGGGTTGTCGGAGTGGTCTACACAAAGTTCTAAATAATCAAAAACACTTTCATCATTCGCTCTCGCAAAGTTTCCAACAGTAGTGAACTTACCTCCATGTTCTACCGATTCCTTTGAGTGCACAAAAGTTTATGATCAGAAAGCCCTGGTTCCATGCCAGCAGAGCAGTCATTCATACACCTACTAACAAAAATAAGGTCCAAGACCGAGCGACCGTGCCCTTTTCCCGTGTAACTTCATCCACAGCGTGTACAAGGTCGTAATCAATATTTCAGCATTTTTACATGGAGTGGAAGGGAACTGCGATCAGTCAATATTTGGGAGATTAAGATCACCAACCATGAGTATGCTAGAGTTACTATGCCTAGAGTCAACATTCAGTGATTACTGCGATATGAGTATCATGACCGAGTAAAAAACGTTCCAGTGTTTCCAGTTTATTAGCAATACTTGGCGCATTGAAATTCAAAAGCCACAACTGCTTTGTAAGCGTATACGGTCATCACATCAATCTGCAGGTTCGTGTCATGTAGACGCGGGAAGCTTCGCACGTGTAGTACTTATGTCACCCAGACTTAGTCACAGTCCACTCGAAGTTTATCATTAACAAGTGGTACTGTTTTACAAGCACATTTGTCAGCCTTGGCGGATTCCCGCAAAACCTTTGTATGGCCAGTGTACTTTCAGAGTAATCATTAGGTATTTAAATACCTGCGACTTTTAGTTTTTTGCGCTTCGAAGAACGACCTGATTTTCATTGTAGTCTTTAGAAAACATGATAATCGGTCTCTCCCTTCCAAAACCTATGAATTCTTGCGATTAACTTACAGGATACACCTAACTTGCAATCATGCACATCAGAAATAACCTTACCTCTGATTCCATGATCTGTTTCATCGGGAGTTTCTTGAATGCCATATACCTGTAGAACGGAACGGCTGCTTTGGTCCTCCAGGTTTGCTAATTTAAGGTTTTGGTTGGAAACAGTTCGTTCGAGGGTTTCGATGTTATGCGTTTTTATTCTTAGTTCCTGAACGAGCGTGTCCATGGCATTAAATGGTACGTTGAGGTCGGAGATCATAATTTCGGGTTTATCATATGATGTGCTTTGATTTCATTTATTTCACGCTGTATTGCATTTTGACCATTCAGTATCTCAGAAAAATCTCTTAGACTGTAGGAAGATCGGGATTGCTCTCAGCATCCCCGGAAAGAAGTAGTCAGCACACATTGAAACAATCTTAAGCGATACTGAGACACGTCTGTGGGCACGGCACAACCAAAAGGAACAGGCCTTTAATTGCATTTAATTGCATTATAATCATTACTACGAAGACAGTGGTTTTGATCACTAACCTGAACTAAAAAGCACGTAGATTGAGCCAACATGCTCCTGCCGGTCTTGCCGTGCCCATCGAAGTTGAACTGTTGAAGCGTGCTCCTTATAGTGGTTCTTGAAGTTCAAGTCAGATGGCCGCCAGGAACAGCAAGGTGCAGCCCCTCCGCGATGACGACCAGCGCTGATGCACCGCCGTTCTTGTCTTCCAACCGATAAAGGCTGACTTGCTTGATTGTTTAACACGTGCTGCGAGGGACGAACCTTCCAAGAAACGGGCTTGAACAAAAAAGAACCTAGATGTTGCCAGCATGCTCCAGTCGGTCTTTCCGTGCCCATTGACTGCCATCTGTGGCAGTCAGATACACTTAAGTTTTAGAGGAACGAGAAGCACGATGGAAAGAGGGAGAGGTGTCCAAAGAGCGCCTCCTCGCCGCTGAGTAAGCGTGTCAAAGGTTTGCTCTCATTTCTGACAAACGCCGTGAGATGGCGCAGCATGCCAGGAGCTCATGGAACCGTCCTCATTGGCGCGCACGTTTTCGTGGCCGCGAGGCGCGCGTCCGCGTCTGCTCACCGAGCAGAATTTCGACCCCCGCCTTGTTCCGACACCTCTCTCTTCTTCGAACTTCGTCTGGGGATTACTTTGCAACACAATAACGCGTCATATTTGCCGAGGTAACAAGCGGAAGAGGGTCGTTTAGAAGGCGTTCTGTTGTGTAAGTCATAGCCCACGTTCGGACTGATCATACAAAAAAGACACGCTGTTTGCTGCAGACATTATCTGCCTCAAGCGCGTTCCGAGCTTCGTGCCAAGCATGTCCTCCGCCAGTTTTTGTATGATCAATGTGACACGGCAAGAAACACGCCTCCTGCCTGGAGACTGTCTTTTGTATTGGCAGCGTGACCGCGGAACCTTGCAATGCGAAGCGCACATTTTTCTTCCATCGTTTTTATTATTATTCCACTCGTTTCTTCGTACACTCCGCAACGCATATTCTTCTTTCCTAACAATTAAGCCACAGGGAACCCGGTGTTCCGCAGGCGGAGCGCGTGACTCCTCGATCGAACGATCCCCAGCTGCCGCGCGGACGTCCCTTCGTCAACAGTCACCTAACTCGGCTGATCGTCGAGTCGAAAGCAATTTCCACGCACTCCGATACGCACGAATGCATCACACAGCCCCGCACACAGACGAACCCACGACCCGAGGCCTGCATTGAGACCGACGAGGACAGAGTCATCTTTGCCCGAACTCGATTAACAATCTCGGCGGGCGTATAGACACACACAGACACAGGAGCGCGGTCCGCAAACCTCCTTCGAAGCCCCGCTTCCGACGCACAGACGCAGTCTTGGAGGCGCAGTTGAATGGCGGCAAAGCTCGGCTTCGGGGGCAATTCAAACGCAGTCGCCCCGCCGGGGTTCTCTCATTAGCGGAGTTGGCCGCCAAGCCAAGACCGGCCGCGGCTTATCGGGCCACAGCGCCCCCTCTCTACAGTTTTGGTCTAACCTTTTGTCGAGACAGTGTCGCCCGCGCTGCCGAGTCTCGCGGAGTGGTGCGATGGGAATCGAGCGCCCTCCACTCGCGCGAGAGCTCGCACCTCCGTGTAATTAATAGAGACAAAGGGATCTATCTGGAGGGACTGCCGGCTTTTCCCCTCCCCGTTTTTCAGTCTTCTCTCCCTTAGCCCTCTTGGCGAAGCTCTCCCTTTTAGGAAAGGCCTTGAAATTGCTCACGTCTGCCTCCCACCAACTTATGGGCTTTTATGTTTTTGTTTGTCGTTCCTGTCTTCCCTTTTCCCTGCAGTTTCATTCACCCTACGGGAAGGGAGGCAGCGCCATCTTTAGTCCTCTTTTGTATTATGTTCTCACCCAATTTTCGCGCTTTCTTACTACGTGACTTCTCAAACTTTCAGCGAGTCCCTTCCAGTCTTTTACTTCTTTTTTTTTTTTTTTTGTGCACCGCTCTCCCTCATTCTCTGTTTCTATCTAGTTCCCCACTTGACGCTTTTAATCACTCGTTGTAGAAAAGGGAAGAACGAACCGTAATTGTGGACGCACTCCTCAGCACGTCTCTGATGTCGCGCCAAGATGGTGACGCTGTGTAGCTCTGGCTCTAGAACTGCGCATGCCCACTTGGCTCCCCTCTCTAAAAATGTATTTCTGCGCAAACACTCTCGTTTATAAGTAACAATTAATCATAGACAGAATTTTATGGGCGATGAGTTTTTGTTGAAAAGGTATAAGCCGTTTCGTTGGTTGTTATGTTGAAATAGGATCTAGTTGAGGTAGGGGAAAAAACTAAATAGATAGAAAAAATTTAACTCTTAAAAAAAAACTTTGTGTCTTAGCGTATTTACTTGGCAAGTAAAGTCATTTGGTATTTTGCAAAATCTTGTTATGACAAAATTCAACATGGTGGCCGTCACACACACACACAAACACACACACACACACACACACACACACACACACACACACACACACACACACAAAATATCCTTGTTGCTCCTTTCTTCATTTTTTTCAACGAAGAAAATATCATCAAACACTGTAAACAGTTTCAGGAGAAACACAGCGACAGTTGAGGTGCGACGTTAGAGCCGCTAAGGGCTCCTAAACTCGTCAAACACAAAAATGGAGGAGAAAGTTCGTAAAACAAACCGATTGGACGTCGTCGAAAAAAAAAAAAAAACGCCAAGTCATCGTTGTCATAGGCTAATCGGTGCGTTCCGTCAACTTTGTCCCCAACTTTGTGTTTGACGAGTTTCGAGGCCAAGGAGTGATCATTTCGGAACAAACGGATTGAATGAACGCTGAAAGTGCGAGCGCGCGGCACAGTCCGCATAGGCGTTTCGTATTCAACCGAGTACCACACCGGACAAAAATTCAATAGCCTTTTGGAACTAATGAGGGTATAGTAAATGGGTCATTAAACGATGTCGGGTGGGAACGTTCGTGACTTTTCAGAGGCGTACTGGTCCTAGTCTGGCTCAAGTATACTCGCGCAGGCCACCACTCATTCAGAACATTCTCTGTCGCGGTGGAATTGCGAGAACAAAGAATGAAAGACGTTTACAACTCCCTGTAATACCGAATTAGAGCGCAGTTCTTGAGGAGGAGGAGGAGAGGGTATTTATTACCCTCCTACTCTCCCCTTCTCCTCTCCGGCTCCTCTCCTATTTCGCGGGAAATTTTCGCTACATTTCCCGCTAAATTTAGTGCAAAAAATTCCCCGTTGAATTCAGCGGGGAAATTTCCTTCTAAATTTAGCGTGGAATTTTTTCCGCTAAATTTAGGCGGGAAAACTTAGCGGGACGTAAGGGAGTTTTCGTTGATTATTTTCGACGTCCCGCAACGCTCTCCGCAGCCCGCTACGATACCCGGAACTCCACAGTCAAGGTCATCAGCGCGCAGGCGCACTAGCGGATTCTTCGTTGCGTAGGGCTTAGTGGAGGGGGAAGCACGGTCTACGAAAACTCCCTGTAGCCGTCAATAGGGAGTTTTCGTAGATCGTTTTCGCCGTCCCGCAAGGCCCTCCGCAATCCGCTACGATAGCGGGAACTCCACAGTCAAGGCTATCGGCGCGCAGGCGCAGTAGCGACTTCTTCGTTGCGGAACGCTTAGCGGAGGGGGTAGCGCGGTCTACGAAAACTCCCTAATGGGACATAGCGGAGAGTCGCATTGCCGTCGACATCACTAGCAGTGCCCAAAAAATGCGGGAAATTTGTTCCCGTCTCACGACCAGCTGAGCACCTGTGAGCACAGAGAGTGAGGGAGAGGAGGAGAAAGATGGGACGACAGAACGCCGAGTTCTGATTGGAAGGATTAATGGGTAGACCGAAAGCTAGCAGCCGTTGTCTCCGCTACACTCGTCGAATCCGCTAAAACGCGGAACGGCGGCGTCATGCCACCGTTCCGCAAAATGCGGAACGGCGGGTTTAGCGCTCGCATTCGAACGCGTTTCACAAGTGCAGAAGGCTGTTTTTCTGGACTCATAAAGGGAGTTCTGATCGCACGATGCGATCGTGGCCTACATCCTGAAACAGGAAGAGCGTGGCCGCCGCGTAACTCCGACCGATCGCGACGGCGTCCGAACGTCCACCCACTGACAGGTGAGGCGGGGCACGTTTCTTGCTTCCTCGTTGGTTCTCTGGCATCCTAATGGCGTTATGGCTGTTGAGATGGGACGACTGCCCGCGACCTCCATTTCCTAAGCTGCCGCTGACTATGACCTCGACTGATAAAACATCCATCCACGGTGGAAGTTCAAGCTCGATGAAGCTTGCTTCACACAGTTGGGGCGGGAGACCGACTGCATCGCGACCGCTCGTGACACCCTTGCGCCCTCTATCAGGGCGCCCTGGAACACTGCCAAGCTGAGTATAGAACGGCACTGAAGGTATCCCAGTACTTCAGGGATCCCGCGTATCGGCGAGGTATTGTCGCTTGGAACTCCGCCTTTTCGGAGTTTAGTCCCTCTGAAATTGGAGGCTGTTTTTCCGAGTGCCTTTTGCGCTCAAGACACGAGGAATCGGAGTTTATTTTTGTTAGATTTACAATTCTTCGAAATTCAGAGTTTCATTTTACTGTGTTCTCAAATTTTAAAAACTCAAAAACAAAAGAAATCAAGTACAGTCACAGACCTACCCTAAATTCGTTAGAACTCACCCGTATCGAATGATATTTTTGCAGCTGTATTCGATATTGGCGCCCGTGTCATTGGCAATACTGCCGCGCGGCCGTGGCCTAACGGTTATCGTGCTTGCCTCCCACGCGAAGAGCCACGGTTCTATTCCCGGGAGCGACGTGTCTTCTCATTTATTTCTGCAATTTAGTGTTCTGGTAAATTCGAGAATCCTGTTGGGCTTGTTTGAGGTCCGAATGTTCTACGCGCCGAACCTTCTACGCCGATTGTTCCAGAACCCCACGCGTGTACATAAGGGGCTCCGCGGGCCGAGACACAGTCAGTCTCGCCCCAGCGTTTAATCCTGCTGTTACGCCGACTTTGAGGCCCGCGACGCTCTGCTGTTTTCTTATTGGTTTTGGGCACAAGTTCGCCCCATTAAACGTCTGAGTTTCTCCAGTCTTTTTTTTTATGTTTTGTTTTTGTTTCCCCGCTTGTTTATTTGTGACAATACTACTATTCCATGACAAATATCGGATTAAAGTGCTGCCTCAATGGCAATCGACACTTTAATATAACTCAACTTCTGGACGTAGCCGCTGAGAAGCACGAAAGCTTACGCTGCCCTCCCCTTCCATTGAACATGAATTAATAGCGTTTGCTGCTATTGAAACCCTTCCTTCCTAGGTATAAATGGTGTGGTTCAAACTAGGGTGCCTTCATGTGCGCTTCGCATAGAGTGATGTCAACTGCCTGTTTCCCTCTCCCGCACCCTCTTC